AAAAATCTATCCAGGCAGGAACAAAATTGTCAGTTGGCAAGGCGCCCACACCTAGAATACAAAAATTGATGTATATAACAAAAGACTCAGTAAAACAAGCATTACACAGAGAGCTACGTACAATTGAATCTTTGTTTTGATAAACAAGCTTGTTCTTAACACTATATGCTACAAAAGGATATTAACATAATTGTTTACAGGATGGACCCAAAGGAATAAGACGACCAAGACATTCTACTCTACAGCCCAAACATATTCAACTGAGTAAGCAAAAGTATCGAACTTGACACTTATAAGTCTACAATGCTTCATAGTGGGCAGTAATAGAATGATTTTAAACTATTTAACATGATAGGCAAATCTAATTCAGAGTAGGGAAAAGCACGCAAAAATTTTCTAAAATTAAATTTTCAGTAAGTTTTGAAGCAAAGGTCCTCATAAGTTATTTTTCAAACGTAACAGGACACAATTAAAAGTGGAGGAACAATTTGTCGACTGAATGCCCATTTGTATTTTACATTTTCAAAGGATAAAAAAGTAAGCCTCCCTGTCATGTCAATAAGCCAAGCAAAACTAATTAATAAAAGTATAACAAAATAAACAGAAAGTTCTAAGAGAAAAAGATGCCTACACTCTCATTAGATCTAAACAAGGGGTGAGCAAACATCTTAAGTCCAATTACTTACTGTGATACTCGAAGTTACTTTGCAGTAGAAATCAACGATGACGCGACATTCAAATCTCTTCCAATTCAGTGTAGGAAAGGTGCAAGTTTATAATCTATCCAGGCAGGAAAGAAATTGTCAGTTGGCAGGCATGCCTACAACTGGAAAACCAAAGATGTGCATAATAAAGAACTCAGTTACACAATCACCACAGGCTACATATACAGTTTTGTTTCAGAAAAATATACTTACATGAATTTGCTAATTAATCATATGTTTGCTGAAGGGGGCTCCAGCTTTCAGTATTGATAAGAAGGCAGGCAAAGAATAAATCTTCAAAAAAAGGACCGTGGCAACAAAAACCAAATGCGAAACTGGAGTGAGCTGCGCGGGATGTCCTGGACACAGACACTTGTTTACTGGGTAAGGGCCAATACGGTGGTGGTCGGTTGAGTCAATCATACCTAGAACAGTAATAATTAAGAAGTTAGCAATGATTCACTAAACATACAGGATCTAATAACACCTATATCATAATTAACAAATCAGAAAACACATCACATATATTGTGAAGTGAATGCCCTTCCACTAAAACTATAATACTTATGTTAAAACTTGGTGGTCCCCTTTTTGACTGAGTCGTCGAGTTGCAGATCGCGATGCAGTAAGGTTGAAGAGGATTCAGGACTCTCCACAAAGGATTTTTCAGCCAGCGATAGGAGTAACAGGCCACCTGAAACAAGAATGATATGAGTAAATTTGTATAGCACTGTTTCACAGTCAAACCAATTCTATAGACAAAAGCACCAGAGATACTTTGATGGAAAATATAGCAAACGTAAGCAAGTCTAACCAGCAAACATTTGTCGCACAAAAATCGAAATTTGAATCGGTACAGGAGTAAGAGAAACCGAGAAAGCGTGCAAAAGCAACAGGCTAGTGCAAAGCCCTCGCAAATCAGTCAGAATTTTGTAACTCTACAGGCTTGCAGAGGTTATGTTCATCTCCTCACCTTATTGAAAGCCCCCGCGAACCCCGCGGACAAAAACCCGAACGACGACGACTTTATGGGAAATGTTATTCCATGTAGAGAGAGGAAGCCTCTATTTCAATCTCCTAAGTGCATCTAATCCGCTTACCGAACTCGACTCAGGGCTACCTACACACGCGTCATCCGGAGCGTCTGGTCGATGATGGACGTGCTTGTGCAGTTCTCAAGCTCCGGCTCGGTCCTCGGTCCTCTCAGCCAATCGCTGCGCCCGATCCGAGCCGACAGCGCCCCTAGCGGCCGCCTGCCAAAGTACGGGAACGCGATAACGACGTGATATTCGGAGCGCGGAGTATCCCCAAAACGTCAACACGGGGTATCTGCGGACAATCCTGATCCAATACATGGTCAACATAGGCCTATAGGCCTCGGCAATGCTCTCTGAGAGGAAAATAAAAATCCAATACATGTATACCGTTTAACGTTTTAACACAAAACGGTTAATGAGTGTAATACATACCCAAGCTCTGTTTTCAAGAGAAAACCGACGCAAAAAAAAAGAAGAGAAAGCAGGAAGCGAAGTTGGAGTAAGCTATGTTCTATGTATCGCATGCTCAACAAACGATTCTTGGTTCAGAGACACAATGGAAACCTGTAAGTTATAAAATTAAGATAACAAAACAACAAAGAAGACAGAAAAAGAATTATTAGATTTCCCTTTTAGGTATGTTTACTGAGATCAATTTATCTGAGAGAATCTACTAAAAAAAAAAATAGTTTGTGGATTGAAAACCTAATAAGATATGTTCAATCAACAAAAAGTTACTAAAACCTCTGATCTTCACAATGTAAGATACTGCAGCAAGGAACCAATCCCTGAAGCCAGTTTCAAACCTAATGTCAAAGCAAACATTCACATCAGGACTTTATACAACAGTTCACGAACCAGTTTCCAACAGGAAATTGTTGCATCTTAACAGTTTAACGAGAGAGAGAGAGTCTCTATTCGTCCCCCCTGTAAGTGGAGGGGGACTGGGCTCGAAAAGAACAGTTTAACAAAAAGGGGAAAAAAAAGGACCAGAACTCACAGATGTGCACTACTTACCACAATAAACAATCTCCTTTTCCTAGAGAGAACAGCAAAAACACCAACTCCAGTTCCTCCTAATGAAACCGGTTCCCACGATTCATCATGGAATAGACTCACGAAGGTGAAGAAGCTGGTCAGCAGTTACACCTGAAACAGTGATGTTATAATAAAGTCTCACATCTAAGAGGCAGCGCAAAGCAAACCAACTGACAAGTGATCTGGAAACAAAGCATATGTGAAGGTGGATACAAAAGCCACAACCACAAAGCAAGCAAATTATACATGGTATCATGTCGACGTAAGCGCAATTTGTTTCGAGTGAGAGGTACGCAGAAAACGTACACAAGCGAGAAACAGAAAAGTGCAAGGCGCATTCGCAAAACCAAAACAACTAGAGTGGTTAGAAAATAGTGCAAATCGTGCCACACAAACTTGCAGAGGTTATGAGAACGTCTCCTCACCTTCTCCGCGACTGTTGAACTAAGTGACAACGCAAGGGTGGAACGCAAAACATGACGATAGTTGCAGGTCTCATATTACGATCGATGGTCATATCATCGAGTGTAGACCCGAATTTGGCACACCACAATGCTACACTCACGGTGAACGTGAAACGCAGTGAAAGAAATCGACGTCCACAACCGAATGTTTCAGCCATACAGACAGAACAGCCCTTTGTTTAAACGGGCTCGACACCTCCCGTCCAAGAATCAAAAACACATGTATGTTGTTATTTATTATTAATTAACAACGGTACACATTTCACACAAGATAAACAACTGTGACCAATGCGCAAAGGTACAGCTAACAGCAGAACATAAATGAACAATCTTGTAGTTCTTCCGAATCCCTCATACACGACTCGCACTCGCAGCGACCGCGCCGCAGATATCTCGATCTACGCACTCGCTCGAGCGCGAGCCGCTGACTATAGTCGGTCAACGGTAACCGCCGATTTGCCTCTAGCTCTTGTGAACTCTAGCGCTTGTGGACTCTAGCTCTTGCGACGCCTAGCTCTTGTGAACTCTAGCTCTTGCGACGCCTAGCTCTTGCGGATCCTAGCCGTTGCGGCTCTAGCTCTTGTGAATCCTAGCTCTTGTGAAGGCCGTCGCTGACCGGAAAAGTTTCATTCTGTCTGTTTGTCTGTCCGTCTGTACGCACGATAACTCGAGAAAGAATTGAAATAGCGACATGGGATTTTTAGGGTCGTTTTGTATGATAAAAAGACAGATCGAGTTCGAAGATGAGCACTCTAGCTTAAAAATTGACATTTTTAAAAATCAAAAACCACAGGCAACAAAATACTTTTTTTTCCAAATATTTTTTTATGATCTCCTATAGGGTAACTCGTGAAAATAGAACCCTTTGGGCGAAAATTTCGTCCGTTTTGCTCTATCTTGCACCGCTTGGGTGCTCGGGGGCATTCCTTGACAAAAATGAGGTGAAAATGACCAAATAGTCTTTAAAATCGTATAAAAAATACTTAACATCGACTAATTGTATAGGCACTTCTGTTAACTCGTCTCGGGTGTCAGCGCCGCAGGCCTAGCTATATGTGCGCCAGGCGCGTCGCAGCGTAACAACGTTCGTGAGATATCGCGAAGCCTGTTACGCGAGACGTGGTCTGGCGTACATATAGCTAGTTGTAACTTTGTATCGTAAAAAGGAAGAACTGTATTGATTTTGAGCCCTCTGGCTAAAAAATTGACCTGTCAGTGAGATGCGTTTGTCACTCATTACACGGTGCTGGCTCCAAAGCTTCAGTCCACCTTTCAGCCGAATTGGAGTTTTTCGTCAGAGAGAGCCGAAATTGGTTCGCGAAAAGCCCTCTCAGAACACTGCAGTACACGGACCTCTATGCTGCTTTCACCGATGGTGCGATGCCCAAGTCCCTTGTACACCTGGTCAAAACGAGATGGCTGGCTTGGGTAAAAGCCGAGGGGGCCGCCACTCCTGAAATCATGTGTACGCCCTCC